TACATATGGAAAAGTTGTATCTAGAACTACCTGCCACCAGTGTTAAACTACAGCTAGTTGACAGTAAAGTGGAATGCAGTTTGCTCATGTCTAGATAAAATGCGGAATTGGTAGTAATTGTGAGATCAGCTGTCAGGTAAAATTTGTAAATATCATTTACATGTGATAAAAACTCCTAATCTATACATAAATGGTGACATTTGTCAGTGTTTAAATACCCTCAGATTAGGTGGAGAAAGGGGGAAGGGAGCCTTGCTCTTGAAAAAGAGAAATACAAAACAATGCACGTCTTAATGTGAGTAACATTAGACGAATTCTTCCCACCCCCGGGGAGTACTGTTTCATGGACAACAGGCGCGCTGCCAAGGGAGTGCTGCACAGCAGAGAGAAGCTATTAAAACATACATGAATTTGCTTCCTAGTCTGGTTGTTTATCTTGTATATTTTAAATACTAAAATTATCATTCCAGGATTAGCAGAATCCGTTAGATCTCTAAAAATGCATCTTCAAAGTCGGCTGAAATCCCCACTGATGGAAGGGGTGAGGAATGCAGAACAGGTGAATCATCCATCAGGAAAAAATAATGCCTTGATAATGAACAAGAAGCAACTACTTAGGAAATATTCAAGGTTGTAATGAATCGTGTTTAGATACATAGATAAAACTCAAAAGAGGGAAAGGTGGGGAAGGTTGAGGCAGAACTTAAAGCCCTCTAACAGCTTGGCTTCAAAGCTCGATTTATTTATTTATCATATTAGGTGGGTTAATGCCAAAGATAGAAAAACAGGTGTTCTTTCTCAGCTTTACTCCATGGACCACAATTCTATTTCCTTTCCTCCTTCTGCTGCATTCCAGTCAAGAGTATGAGACCATGTACTCATCTAAATCAGTAATTAGGCTTTAATAACTGGTCTCAAAGCACTGTGGGAACTGCAGATGTTTTGATGTTTTGGAGTGGCTTGAATGATATGACCCCCCCCTCTTGAGCATCCTTGTCCATCTTGGAATACTAACTTTGAACTTTTTGTCTCACTTCTGGTGTGCAGGAGTGGGTCTTACATGCTTCTAAATATGAAAAACACAGTACACATTTTAAAAAAAACACATGTATTATTCATTTCTCCTAAGGGAATACTAGAATCTTGCTTTCAACTTTTAGCCACAGATACACAGTTTCCAGTTTAAAAGTAGGATTTTTCACATGTTGTAATTTTTTTCCCTCCCGCTGCCTCCCCTGCTGCTGCCCTTTCCCATTGTTAATTGGGTATTCTGTCCTCAGCTGAGGGAGGGGTGGGGGCCAGCAAATAAATTACGTAGAGATGAATTATGATTTAGGGCCATATTCCTTCGATTGCTAAGTCTATTTTCATGAGCTTAAAAGTCCAGAAACATGTAGCAGAGATGTTTTTTGCCCTCTAGGGTAGATTTTCAGTGTCTGAAGGAAAGAAGGAGTTTCCATTTGGTGGGTTTGTGGCGGAGTTGAAAGAAATGTGAGCTAGAATTGACTTTTGGCTGTCCATTATTTACGCTGGGCAGGCAGGACTGACATGGAACTACCTCTCTTTGCATGACTTTAGCCTTTCTGAGCCCTAACAGAGAATGGGGCCTCCGTGCTTTTAAAAATGACTTGAATAAAAAGGGAGTTTTTGGTAGTGAAGTTTCTGTCTCTGCATCAACGTTGCTCCTGTTAACTTCTGTGGAACTAGTTTTAAGTGGGCAGTAGTCTGAAGTGGGCAAATGTAGCGAACTGCATTCACAGAGGTGGTTGTGGGACAGTAATGTAACAAAAATGTAAGTGGATTAAGCCCTTAATGCCTCTAGAGATAAGGAGATTTGTGCGTCCAGCTGTATGTGAAGCTGAACTGTTGGAGATGCATATGCAAAAAAAGAATTGGATTAAAAAAACAAAATGGGAGAAAGGTTTTCTGTCTTGAGCAACATCTATGATCAGTGCCACCTTGCAGATCCTAGTTAAACAACCTTTACATAATTGTTATGTAAAGGAAAGGTAAACAGCATGTTGATTAAATTCACCGTGGTATTAAATATAAGACACTGCAAAGATGAAAATAGTAGGGAAATGATACAGGAGAACTGAAGATATTACTAGAATAGACAGAAAAGCAAACTCAGCCTGACAAACACAAGTAAAGATAACCCAAATGAGGTAGGCGACAGACAGAAAACTGGGCTTAGAAAATAATCTATGTGTGGTTGGAAACAACAGCGAAGCACACTGATGATACCAGAAAGCACTGAAGGCAGTGACTTGTCATTTTCTAGTGTGGCAAATGAGACATGTAATTGTTGACTTTGGGACTTAGTTCAGTAGCAGAGTGAGGAGAAGCTGTGCAGTATACAATCACATCCATTTAGGTCTGTGATGTTTGTGTCTGTCATGAGTTTTATGTGAGGATAGTGGACTTATGAGTGAAGGCAGCTGATCACTATTTGAGTTAAAAATAGAACTTTTTCTGTATTTCAGTTATTTGTTAAGCATTTAAATATGTCTCCGTAGGAACCTTTTCCTTATTATGGTCTATCATGTAAATATTGTTTGGGCCATTTTTAGCATACACAGTACCACAAAACTAATTATTTATATTGGCAGCTGTTATGATAGTTATTAATATGCACTTTAAAGCTGAGAGATCTCCTGCCTGTTTAGTCAGTTTGTAGTTTGGTGGTGTTTGTTAAAAATTATATGATTGTTCATACAGCATTAAAAAAAAAAATTTCCTCTACTCAAGAACATTAGTGAGTACTAGCTCCATAGAAGTCTTCTGATGTCCAGTGTCTTTGATCATTGTCTGTTACAAGAGTTCTTGCTTCAGCATCATGGAAAGCAGATTCGAATGAAGAGGAGCCTTGTTTTGGGTGGATAGGCCATGTCCTTTAATCTGAGCTCTGCACTGAAAATTGGCAGAGTAACCGATGGGATTAGAGAGGACGTTGTGTCTTAAGGCCAAACTAAATGAAGGAGGAGTGTCTCTGCTTAAGGAGTATGTCGTACTTTACTTGTATTTCCTAAACATCATAATCCATTTCACAGACAGACAAGATTCAGCTTCCTTTATTCGCAGGCTTTATGGTTTCTGTTGTAAAGTCTTTGAACTATAATAGGCCTTACAGTGTTGTGTAATGTTAATGTGTTTTCCCTGAGCGAACATGATAGTGGTACTTTAACAACTAGATGTGGGAGTGTGTGGCTTCGTCTCTGTTAGCGTGAAGTGAGTGACACAGTAAGACTGGATCTGGAGGATGACATAGGTAACGGCCTCAGTGCCTTTGGGTTATTCCAGTCTGATCTTATGGACCTTAATGCCAGTCAAAGGTTGGAGTACATTAGGTGCACTCCACAAACATAGCTTTTGGTTGGTATCTGAAATGATTCCAAGTTGTGTCTTTTGAGACCTCCTTGAACCAAACTGCAGTGACAAGGGACAGGTAGGACAGTTTAGAGATGGGCTTCAAAACAGTACTCAGTGGTAATGTAGACACACCTTAATATACTAAACCAGGTTAGATGGCACTGCTTCCCACTGCTTAGCTTTGTGGTAGGACATAAAAAGAAGAATAAAGGGTCAGATAAATTAATTTACTACTTCTGTGGGAAACCTCTTTAGATTTTCAATGGCTGTGTGGTACATTTTTATTAATAGGCCATAATGTGTCTTTCATCATCATTCAGACATAACTGAGGAAGGCTGTTAAAGCATAGCAGTGATATTTCCATAATCTTGACAGCAGTTAACCTATTTCCTGTAGTTACCAGGCAGTGGTTTCAGCACCATTTATACTCTCAAGTTGTCATGCTGTCTCTTTTTACCCATCTTTTCAGCTACTGTCCAGTCATTGTTGGAGGGATGTTAAATGCTGTGAGTGTATTTATGTGGGTAAGTTGTTGGTGTTCTCTGAAAATGCCCAATTTAAGGTTTTGGTTTGGAGGCTGCTACCCGTCCTTTAGAGACAGAGCGGGGAGAAAGGAAGAAAACTGAGTCAGAGCACCTATTGCTTTGCCTTTTTCTTCGGAGGGAGCTTGCGTCTCTCCAGTGACTCTGTAGGAGATCTTCAGATGTGGGCACCTAAGTCAGAGTGACTTCCTGAGACAGTCTTTTTGTTTTGTGCTTGTGTAGTATCTACTGTGATGCCAGCCTACTATATCTTATCACTGTGGAAAATCATATTAGTAATTGTAGCTCATGCTGCTCAGGAGCCTGGAAAGATGAAAGGAGTTACAGGAGTAGTGGGGGGACAAGAGGTCTTGTGCAAAAGCTGAGCCTTGCTTGGCATTGTTCACATGAGTTTTTTGGCTCCAACGCACCAGCTGTTTGGTCTGGGATTTGGCTGTGCTGAAAAGCCACAGCAAAATCAGGTGGGTACAACTATAACCCCTGACCAAAATGTTTGTATGTGATGGTAAAGAACAAGGAGTTCCAAGAAGGTGCATGGTTCTAGTCATGAATTTCATCGTTCAAATATGAATATTCTCTACCTGAGGAAGGTGTTAGAGTATGATGCCTCCAGGTTTGTCTATGCAACACCATGTTTGAAGTCGCCTCTTACTTTGTGTGTACTCACGAAGTCACATCATATTGGTAGTTCAGGTAATTTTTCGTTAGTTTTCCCCTAAATGCACAAGCCCAGGAGTTAATCTAGATGGAGCCAAAGAGTAAGCGTAGTTAAAGATCTTTCAGCAAAACTGCAGATATCTGTATCCTCATTTTGCCATTGCAGATTTGCGTTTGCCATCAAAGTGCATGTTGTGTCTCCTTGTCCACACGACTCCTCACATGTGCATGGTGGTTTGAAAAAAGTGAAACCAAGAAAAGTCATACCATATGTTAATGTGTTTTCCCCGATTTCTCATTTGGACTGACTTGGGATTTCTGGTAATAAGACAGTTAATAAGCTTTCCAAGTGATTGTGTTTTATGTACCCAACCATTCTTTGGTCTCTCACTCTACCTAAGAATAAAGTCTCTGATTCTGATTGCTAGAACCCCTCTGATTGCTGCGGGAGTTATTGGTGGCCTCTTCATCATCGTCATTGTGGGCCTGACGTTTGCTGTGTATGTTCGGCGCAAAAGCATCAAAAAGAAGAGAGCATTGCGAAGATTCCTGGAGACTGAGGTGAGAGTGTGCTTCTTCTCACAGAATATTTGAAAAGATATGTGGAGCTGTTCTGCTTTTATATTAAAGATGTTCAGGTCTTCAATCCAGTTACCAGAGAGGTCTGTAGAAATCCTTTTGCTAACTTCTGCAGGACTAAACTGATGGAATGAATGAAGCTATTTCATGATACTGGTTTTCTGTACTTATATAGATTCACGGCTTTTGAAAGCCAAAAAAAGATCCACGTGATCATGAAGTCACATGCCACCAGATTTTTGAACTCCCATCCTGCTCTCAACTGAACTTCTATCCCAGTTCATCAGTACATTTAGCAGCTCTTATGTTTAAATATTACAGATTTTCATACAGTGCATACTGAGGTCAACGTTAAAGACTGAAGTAAGTTCCTTCAGCAAGCTCTGATGCAAACTGAAGCTTAAATGGAATGCTTAGATGCAGAGAATGTCATTTACTATTGTTCCTAATGCCTGCATTGGCTTTGTGGTCACGATTTTGTCAAAGCCTGTAGTCATGATCGATAATAATAACGTATTTTATTAAGCCAAGATACTTCCCAGAGCTTAACCAAATGAGGTTTGCAGTTCCACTGGCAAAATACCTAGTGGAGCTATAGGACAAAGTGCTGTGCCCACTCCATCCTGTTCTTTGAAATGCCAGTAGTGGAGGGGGCAATCTAGGATGTGTATTTAAAGAGAACATTAAAACTTTATGTTAGCTACAGCAAAGGTGATTACTACCATCTCCTCAGTCCTATACTTGAGACACTTTGCGAGTGATGATAGTTTTTGAATTAGGGTCCCCTTTGTAAATAGTAAAGCTTGGGAATATTGTTAGGTACTGATTCTTTAATAAGGCTTGGTTAAGAATGCCGTTTTCTGCTCTGTTCCAAGGGTCCTGCTGCCACTCATCTCCACTGTAGAGCCTGGCAGCAAATGATTTATGCATCCCAAATCTGTTTGCCTAAGCGTCTTTATGCTTGGCTAGAATTTGTGTTTGTTAAGTACTGTTCAGTTGCACAGAAAACTTAACGATTCTCAGTGTCTTTAGATGCATAAATCTTGCCATTGTATCAGTCCCTACTTAAGCATAAATGATCTTAAGCAGGTAGCTTTCACTGGATTTGCGAAGCATTGGCTTTGAAGTCCAGCTCTCATTCTCTATTTGGCCAGATAAAAGCTGTGGCTGACAGCAGTTCCTGAGGGACCAAGGTCTCCTACTGAACATGTGGGGAAGCTGTTGTCTGGCTTAGAAACTGAAGATTAAATTGGGAGCATCCTGAGATAAACACACAGGCAACTGTAGATTAGTTAGCTAAAGTCTCCTTTGCTAGCTGGAGGCTGTATCAGACCTATTCTTTCTGTAGATCATTCTGAGTAAAACTCCATAAGCATTTTTTTAGACCCCCACAACCCTTCTTCCCATACCTGCATTGATGGACTGTGGCACAGAAGCTGTTTTTACCCTTCACAAACTGAAAATACAGAAGAGTACCACCAGTCTGTCTACTTTACTGTTACAATAAGCTGCCTTTCTTTCACCATGTAAGTACTGGACATCTGAAGTGGGAAGGAGGAAAGAGAAATCACTCTAAAAAAAGTACAGCTCACAAATTATTTCTGTTATAGCCTGACTTGTTGCTATTTGGTTTTGTTATGTTTTCTTACTCCAGTAATTTCCAGATACTGGTATTTTTTACCTGAACCAAAGTAGTCTGGTCAACTATTTCAGTGGTTCATGATGCTCCAAGAGCCATACAAGTAGTGTTTGGATTGCAGAGCGTTTAGCCTTGTGAACAGACACCTTTGAAATACTGCAGTGATTTCAAACCAATTTGAGTAGGAGTAGCCCTGAGTTATTTTCCTCATCCTGTAAAGGAACAGACTGTTTTTCATTGTTTAGAGTATTGTCCTTTTCATGTATTTTTAATTTATTTTTAATGAAGCGTTGTTTTTTTTCTGGCAGAGATGATATAGCATTGAGATCTGAGAGCGTTTTTAACCGAATGTGCCATTGTGGCTCATTTACAAAGTTTCTTGGGATGTCTTGAGCAAATTGTGTAATTGTGCCCTTTTTTGTAGTAAATTAATGGCTGTTATAAATTAGTGGTCTGCTATAAGATCTTTTCTCCTTAAAGCTGTCCTCCTGGGTGGTGTAACAGAAGTTCAGAAAAATAGTCCCTTCCCCAAAACAGAATAAGAAAGTGATAAGCCATTAAGTCAGAGCTATTAAAAAGAAATACAGCCAACTTAAAGGCACTAAAATGGTAAAAAATAGAATGTGATGCACTGATAATAAATACTGTACTTCTGTCAAGTAGAAAACATTTATACTGCCTCCATTAGCAAAAGTCCTTGGGTGTGTTATTGTGACACTGATTCAATTTCCAGTTCGTAATTCCATCATGCAGTTCCTGGTGGAAATTATTCCATGTTGAATGAAGATTTTCTTTATCTGGTCTCTTGGTTTCTTAGCATTGCTTATTTACTTTTAAAGGTGAGAAATCCTTCCTCAAGTTGACAGGTCGATAAACCCCACTATTGTCTTATTCCAGTGTTTAGCTGGATTGGTTGTTTTCAGTATAAACTTCTGATGGGCCTTCACATTTTCAAATATTTAAGACTGTCGGATTTTCCTTCGTAGCTTGTGGAACCTTTGACTCCAAGTGGCACAGCACCCAACCAAGCACAGCTTCGTATCCTGAAGGAAACTGAGCTGAAACGAGTCAAGGTTCTTGGCTCTGGAGCCTTTGGAACTGTATACAAGGTAAGAGTCTTCAATACACAGCAGTGAGTTCCCTCACTTAACTTCTGAACAGTCAAATTCTGCATTGCAGCAAAGCATCCCATACTGTGGGTGGGTTCATGAGCCCTGCATATCTGGGAAACTCAGGATAGTGGAATTGTGTGGGAGGAGGACATCTTCAGGCTCAAACATTAACTTCAGTTTTAATCAGACATGCAGATATTATTTCTTGGTGAGAAAAGGAGCATCAGCTGCAATCATCCTTGCATGGAAGAAGACTACACAAGCTGGGCTGTCTTTGTATTAAAATGCAGTATCCAAGTTTGTCATTCTGTTCTTACATAATGGCTTTACGATACAATTTTGGAAAACTAGATAAACTTTGTCTCTCATTTCACAAGTGTCACATGGGTCTTGTAATAGTAATCATACCTTGTAAAACAAAATTGTCATTAGCTAAACTGTATTACTTTTTGTTTCTTTCATTTAAACAGAAAAGATGAGTTATATCAATGGATGTAAAAGCAGGACCCACAAGGGAAAAATACTTCTGCTACAGATTTTTTTTTTTTTGCAAAATCTGTTGGTCATGTCCAAATCCCAAAGGCATGATGTAGAGCTTAATGAGCAAGTCAAACCAATCACCCAACCCTTTGGGGGTAACCCAGACCTGCCAAATGGAAGTGGTAGGTCAGAGCACTGAAGGAGGACGGATACTGCATCTGTCTTCAAAATGGAGGAAGTACAGAACTGGTCACTGCAGCTACAAGGTCACAGGAATGCATTTTTGAATGATCAGTTTGAATATACTTAGACAGTAATGAAGTGATAAAGGTGGGTACCATGAGGGTGCCAAGAACACAGCAGTAGTCAAGAGAGATGGAAAAGTAGCTCAAGACACACACACTTTGTGAATTTTAATTTTAAAGTTTACTTTTTAGCCATCAAAGCTTATAATTCTCAGATATCGATTAATTAGAAAATAGCTTCTAAACATTTCACTGTAAATACATTGTTCTCGGGGTGTTCTGCATGCTAGCATGGCCTGGAGATAATCGGTTTTGAGAGTTTTCTCATAGCTTCAATGAGTTTAGCATCAGAATCCAGAACAGAAAATCCAGACTTTTGTTTAATTTTATCAGAATTAATAATCATTGGAAAAAATACATGCATCTTTGACATGCTGACATTACTCTCTAGAAGCCTGGTTATGGACAGGAAAATCAAGGGCGCCTGATGAGAAAGTTCACTGATACAAAATGTTTCATTTTATGTAAGGGTTTACGTTTGGCGTAAGAAGTAATTTTGTGGGATTTTTATTATTTTATGGCTTTCTGTATTCTCAGTTCTGAGGTTTATAATTGATGTGCCTAATGTGACAGAATGCATCAAAATGAGCTGTGACTCTGAATTAAGTTTTTATGATTGTTGTCTTGTGAGTCTTCCTTCACTTTTTCTTTTCTTTCTAGGGTATTTGGGTCCCGGAGGGAGAAACCGTAAAGATTCCTGTGGCCATTAAGATCCTTAATGAGACCACTGGTCCAAAAGCCAATGCGGAGTTTATGGATGTAAGTAAGAGATAATCAGTGTCTTTGAGGGTTTTTTAGGGGAGGGGGAGGGTATCTTTCTGTAGTCCACAGAGGTTGCAAAGAGGAAGTTCTGCCACTTTTCTTTCCTTGCATATAAATAGTAGAAGGAGGCTTGTACACAGGACCAGTACTGTGCTGATGTTAGGTGAGTGCTATAATACTGTGTCCTGAAAAAAACTCAGCTGCTTAGATTTTGTGTGTAGGCCACTGTCTCAATATTAATGCATATCCGTAACATTCACTACTGCAGCAGTGTTCGAAAAAACAAATAAAACCAGCCAAATGTGGTGACACCTCAGCTGCAGGTAGATCAGTGCTGCTTCTCTGAAGCTGTAGTGCTAGGCAGATCTGTGTGAGGCAATGCTCTGCCCTGTTTAGTTTATTGCATGTAGAACATTTCATTCCAGCACTGGAACTACCTGGGCTACCAGGGTAAAGCCAGTGCTATGGTAATGAAAGGCTGGGTTTTTCACTGTGCACATGTCATGGACCCTAAGATGCTTGGAGTTTTCTTATAAATGGTCTTCCTATCAGTAGAAGTCTGAAGCTCCTTTGTCTCATGTGCCAGATATTTTATCTTTCCGTGGCAGAGAAGCTAGAGACAAGAGAGAGGAGGATTTGCAGGGGAGCGTCTTGGCATGTATGTGAGTCTCTGTTGGTGCACAACTCACAGGAACAGAAATTTAGCCTCAGCTCATTTCTGCTTAAGTGTTCCTGAGAACTAAGCATGGAGTCCGGGAGCTGTCAGCAACAGCAAAGTGGAACAGGGAGGGTGGGAAAAAAATTGAAATATACTGGATTTTAAAAGCCCTTTTGGTTTACAAATCTGAAATATTGTTAATAAGAGGTCAAGATCATAATTTTTGTGAATGTTCTGTGTTCAGAGAGGCTGTGCACTGAGTTTTCAGCTCCATGTCAAGATCAAGCCTCATTTACACTGTGAATGTGTATGCCCTATTTAGTGACAAGTTTTTGATAAATCATAGAAATTTGCACTTTTTTGTAAATCCCTCTTGTGAACTTGAAAATTACGTAGGACTTTTAAGTCTTGAAGATCTGTTCAGTGTATAGACTTAATTTGGTTAGCATTAATGAGACTGTAAACCACAAGGAGAATGTACTCATGTTATATAGTATTTTCTTTCATCCAGAAATGAACAGAAATGTATAGTTATGGATTTAGCTATTGCAGAAAAATTATCACATGTGAATTCTTAGGCAATTGAATAAAGGCTGTGTAGATGAAAGTATTTCCTGTGCTTTTTACAGAGCACTGCAGATTTATGTTGATAACATTCAATAATCATGACATACAAATTAAAAAAAAAAATTAAGAAGAGGCCGTTTTGGCTCTCTTCAAAGGGAATGAATTGCACTAAAGGGATAAAGAGGATTAAATGTTTGCTTAATGGACATAATTATGGTCAAGAGTATTGTTAATGGTAGACCTCCAGAAAATGGAGAGCTGGGATTCAGCGCCCTTTTGAAGTGAACACGCAGGGAGTGCGAGTGCACTGTAATGCGACCTGCACTTCATGTCTGATGCTGGCAGTCAGTGATGTAGATTCCAGCCTCAAGATGAGGGAATTGGTGTCACTGTGTGAAAGTTAGGGGAACTGAGCAACTTGCACAAGCTGAGGATCTGACCCCTTATCTGATAGAGAAATAATAGTAATATCTCCTTCTCTGATATTGATTAACCTTGAAGTGCTCTACAGAGTAAACATAAGGTCCTTGTTAAAAGACAAAGTTACTCGGCTGAGGTTTCATAGCTAGCTTGATCAACTGATGTAATTTACTGGACCACATTTCCCTCCAGTGTATGCACTGTAATTTCTGATGGCTCAGAAATCATGAAGGTTTTTTGGAAACTCTAGAGATTTTAGCTATGTAAGGTACAGTCACACTAGGAAAGGTTTCTATTTAAATGAAGTTTCTCATGAGTCTCTAACCCAGTGGTAACACAGTGAGAGAAAAGTGAAGGTTATATTTAGTCCTAGAGGTTAATGATAACCTAAAGGTTATTTTTAATCACAATAAAAAAAGAAATGAACTTCATCATTAGTTGATATAAGTGACAATAAGGAGGAATAAGAAGTTTTGTATCAATGCTGAATTTTAGGTGTGTGCAGCGGTCTGTAACATCCTTTGCTGTACTGCATTGATGAAGAAGATTTAATATGATTCTTTTGAAATAATTGCTCATGCAATTGTACAGATGTTTTTGCCATCCTCGCCTCCTAACCCAGTTATTTATTTCCTGAAACAAGCCACATTTTCAAACAGAATGACCTAAGCATTCTTTATGTTTTTAATGTGACCATTACTCTCTGTCTTAGAAAGGACATAGTTTTAAACTTTCTAAGATTTTAAGCTATTAAGAGGAGATAACTTAAATATCTTTCATTGAAGAGTAAGTTATAATAGAAAAATGTGTTTTACTCATTCTCACTTCAAGGCTTTGGTCAGTATAACTATCCTGATAAAACTGGAGACTGTTTACTGATGTTACTTTATGAGGAAAAATTAAATGTACATGTGAAAGCAAAATGCATCAGTTGTGACTTCAGTAGAAAAGAGTATTATGAACAGTTGTTGGTTAAAAGCAGTTGGTATCAGATTTTTTAAAGGTATATATGTGGCTAAGTGTTATTATGAACAGAGTGAGGGTTAACTCTTAAGTAAGTGACCTGTTGGTTATGAATGGGAAGAGGTGATTAGTGGGAAGGAGGTGTCATATAAGTCACACCTTTGACTTTCATTTTTTTGTACTTGTCAAGTACAAGTGTGCTTTTGCCAGCAATTACTTCTTATTCGATTGTATATGTCCTTGTACTTGCAAGTAAAACTTAGCATTCCTTTTAGAGAGGCTCTGGAAAATGTAAAGCCGCTTATAAACAGTGGTTTGTGTACAGAGAGAGTGCTTGGGACCCTTCAGTGTCTACAGAAATAGCTGGTATAGATGTCAGTGGCATCATCCATAGGCTCTGGTTAAAAATTATAGTGTTCACAGAATGTAAGTCTAAAAGTGCTCTGCGAGCTCCTGAAATTCTGCTAAATGTTATGCCAAAAGAGTAAAGAACAACAATTTGGCTACTGGGCTGTCATTTCAGCACCTTGAACACCCAGTAATGGATCTGTAATGACTATAATGATATAATGCATGATAGCACCTACTGTGGCCAGACACCTCCCACCCTCCTCCCATCAGGGGACGATGAATTGGCCATCATGAGAAAGTACATCCCCTGTTACGAATTTTTCTTCGGGGAGTTGCAGCAGAGTCTGTTTACTGGGCTTTCTCCACACATTCCCAGCTAGCTCTTTTTCTTTGACTCTCCTCCCTGCTTGCTTACATAGTTTTTGTCACTGCAGTAGTCCATGTCTGTTACAACAGTGCAAGCTGAAGTCTACTAAGTAACCCATACCACCTTCTCCAGGACAGAAGCAGAATGTACATGTGGACTTCCATGGATTTGTTTTCAATGTACAGAAATTGTTGCTGCTGTTTTGTAAAATGTAGGTTTACCTTTTTCCACATATTTCTGAGTACGTATTATTTCTGTAACAATTTCACAGTCTAAAGAATTTCCCCTCAGGTGTTGAAATGGTTAGATGCTTAATTTGTGGGGCGTAGTTTCTCCTCCTTGGTTGGCTGGTCACACTTCATTGTCCCCAGAAGGGTGCTGGAATTTGAATTCAGAGTGCAGGTGTTCTTGCTACTGGTCTGCCTGCAAGCGCATCTGGGAGAGGAATCGTCGGCAGGCACAGCGGGTAGCAGGAGGGAAGGATATCTATCCTGCTCCTCAGACTAAGGCTCGTAACAGAATATATGAGGGTCCTGAGTTTGAGGGAGGGAAGAGAGGCTTGTTGTGAGGAAAAAAGGCAAATACGCAACTAAAAGGCTATTTGATAGTAGAACAGGAACTTATAATTTCACTTGTGAAAACAATTTCCCCTCCTCTGTCTCAAATTGTTTGACTGTTATGATTGTCTGATAAGTGGCCATTGACCTGATCAGATGGTTTAACATCAGACTGGATGCTTGAATGATAATGTAACACATTCCAAAGTCATCCTGCAGTTGGAAAGCATAGCAAGCTATCTTTGAGGCTAAAAAAAATACATCTTTAAATTAACTTGTCATGGGAAAACAGGCAATTGATGAGGGCCTTTGCTCTGTAGCCCTCTAAGCTTGCTGTTTCCAGGAAGTAATCCTGTGAGCTGTGATTCTGTCCAGGATTTTGATCCACTTGCAAATTTAATCTGTCCTCTCTGAACTTAAATGCTCCATTATCTGTTAGAAAATAATTAGAAGCTGCAAGCACAAGTCTGCATACACTGGGACTTGGGAGTCCCTGAGCTCATTGAGATGAAGACAGTTTGACTGATGGTGGTCAGCTGATATTGGGTCAGAAGCTAATAATAGAAGGCAGTGCTGCTTAGCTAGGTGAGAAAGTTAACTTGGGAAAAATTAAACTGAAGGGTTTGGGGTTTATGGTTGGAAGTAAATTTCCCATTCTCATTTGTTTCTTGGTAAGAGAGCTTCAGAAGCAGTTGGTTTCTTTTATGGTTTTATAATTAAGATCTAGGGGGCTGCTTCGCTTCACCTGGACTTACTGTAGTCCCTGCTGTCTCCAGGAGCAGTGTTCAGTGTGCAGGAGAGCATTTGTCAAGCGAAGTGTAAAGGTAATAAGTGACAATGACCTCCACCAGGCATGCAGCAAACAAATTAAAGCTGTGTATAGGGGGCTGATACCCACATATTTTATTTATGTCTGGCCTAATTAACTGAATTAATAAAGCAGTCAGTTGTCTTGTGCTGCAAAAAGAAAGAGAAATGACATTTCCTAAATTGTAAGCCTGTCTTATAATTTTGACAAGTCCTCAAGATGTAGTGAACTTACCTTTGGTTCAGAGGTTTCAAGAGGGAATAAAATCATGTAGCTAACTAGCAAAAGATAATTTTACCTCTTGTT